GTCCTTTTTATCTGCTTCAAAAAGAGATGAAGCTAGCCCTGTGTCTATATTAAATCTCTTTCTCTGGAGACAGTTTGTGTAAGTAGGCTAAATTTTCAAGAACACATAATAATAAATAAACTCATATTTATAGTAGCTGACTGGATTTGGCATGGCTGCCTCTTGTGCAGCTCCAAAGAAGTAATGATTCACAGTTCTTATGGACCATGAGTGTTTGTTTTGGAGGCTGTGCACTGTACATGATTTCAAATACCGTGGCCATGATTGTTTCTCAAGAGTATGAGTGTAGACATTATGTCAAATCAGTATTACACAGACAATGCAAATTTTAAAACGAGAGGTTGTTTCAGGATGAATATTGCAATGTTTTTTATTATTCACATCTGTGTAGTAATTCATTTTGCTTTACTAACAGTAAGATTTTTACTATGCTGCAGTAAAAACAATGATATATACCTTAGTTCCCATTAAGTCTCGAATGCCTGATTATTTATATTGATAAATGACAACAAATAACGTTACTCTGTTTTTCCTTGCGTGTTTACCTTTGTAAGTCAGGCATCCTCCAAATTCAAACACAGTTACTATGACTCGGAGATGGTAAACGTGGAAGACAGGTGGGCAAGCAGGCAAATAGTGACTAAACAAACATCTGTCTCTGGTGCTATAGGTAATGCAGTATCCTCAAAAAGAAAACTAAAATTTGTTATAATTATGTCTTTTGCGATTGCAATATGATTGCAATCAATACAGATAATACAGTGAGGATTTATGCAGTATTTAAATCAAAACATTGTTAGCTGTTTCCTCACATTTTAAATGTAAAATGCAAACAATTAAAAAAAAAAAAAAAAAAAGAGCTATAGTGTTGAGTTTGAGGAATTGGAATGAGATTCCACTAATTTGACACTTAGATCTGCCAAACATTACATTCGTGATGCAGTACAAATCTTTTAGATGGCAGTATTCTTCGCTTCTTTTGCACCAAATCTTAGAATGGGTTTTTTTTTTTTGAAGGGGCCTTAAGATCATCTAGTTCCAACATCTTGCCATGGGCAGGCATACCTCCCACTAAAAGAGGTGATGTCCAAAGCCCCATTCAACCTGGTTTTGAACACCTCCAGGGATGAGCTGTCAAAATCTCTTAACATGCTTCCATCTTCCACATTTAGCATTTTTGGGTTTTGATAAAGAAACAGAAGAATGTTTCAACCTATAACTTGGGCTCATTTCCTGGCCTTTAAAAGCTAAGAGCCTTGGATTTCATTGGCAGTATTTAGATCGAAAGTGTCCCCATTTTGATGAAAACTATGGCTTTATGTGTGGTAAAAACATTCTTCTGGAAAAAAAAAAAAAAAAAAAAAAAAATTGAGATATTTCTGTGAAGTTCATTTACCATAGAATTAATATACACACACTAACGGTTTTAAGAACTCAGGAGTTATGGTAAACAATATTTTAGATGATTAAGCCATTCAAAAGTCCTAACTTCAGTTACAATTGCCAGTCTCCCTTGGGTGTTTTAACAAGAGAGAGGGAGAAAGATGGAGAAAGACACTATATATCTGTATTCAATTTCAAGAATTTGAAATCGGTAACAGGAAAAAGGTCCTCATTCTTTTAATTGATCATAATGATTAAAAAGGGGGTGCCATCTTCATTCAGCAACCAATTAAGTTTCTATAAGTAACCCTCTTGTATGCCAATGTGCAGAATGCAGGTACTGTATCTGTATCATAAATTAACACAAGCTTAGAATTGTTCTGTTTTGACTATCAGGAAATGAATGAACAACCCATAATACCCATAATATATATTTTAAGTATGTCATTATGAAAACAAGGAAGACTCTTATTGGTGTCTTTGACAGCTTTATGTGTAGTGAAGATGCTGCCTTAGGACATGATTACAGACTTCCATTTCATTCTCCAGTTTTATGAATTAAGCAAAGCAGAACAGAAATAAAGCAAAAAAAAAAAACCTTGATAGACAGAGAAAGTGAGTGTGTAGAACTGTAGATCACTGGAGATGGTAAGTCTTTAAACTTACAGTGCACAATCTCTTATATTTACATTGAAAGTAATTTTTTTTAACTCCCCCTTCTTTTCTATAATGCACAGTTAACACAATGCTGTTGAAAAAGCAATCAGACTTCATTTCCTAGTGTTTGTTGGAAAAATATTAATTTACATTGAAGTGCAGATTCTATTCCATCTAGAATGTCTGCCTATTCAAACAACTTAATTCTTCAATTAGAAGTGATTTTTTTTTTTTTTTTTTTTTTTTTTTTTTTTTAACAGCACGCAGAAAAATTTTCTGTGATGGAACACTTGCTTAGTTTGGAAGTCAGATCATCTACAGATAGTGCTGTAGCTAGAAAACTGTCCTAAATGGACCTTTTTTTGCATTATTTTTAATGTAGAAATAAAATAATGAATATTAAAGCAAAATAAATTATACTTTGGTAGGTATTTCCTGATAGAGAATTTGCAGTATCCATTTACATACATATTCTTCTCCTTCTAAGACATATTCTGCAACTTCTAAAATGGAAGAAGTTCAATTTTTAAGATTCAAATAAAGACGAACCTAGATATGTAATACAAACATTTTTAAACAATATCTTACCTGTAGCCACCAAAATGAGAGAATTTTCTATTTTATGTTACCAAAGAAAGAAAGTGAACATCATTTACAGATGTGGGTTATATTTTTTCCCATTTAGAAAGTGTTAATCAGATTTCTTTATGTTTAAATAGAATTGTGAGAAAGCATGAATTTAGACAAGTGAAGAATATAGCCAGCCTCTGAGTTTTGCTGTGAGCTTTGCTATGAATCTGTCTATACTGTCAGTACTGTCCTTATTTTCAAAGACCATAATCAAAATCTTTGTGACTGTCATGTCATTTTGCTGTACAGTCAAGAAGAACTGTGAAGTCACATGCTGTGCTGTGTCTTTCATAGTAAAGTTCCTAGTGTTTTTCAAACTTGGTTTTCAGTTACCATCATGTAATTCAGTTTCATTGTTGTTTTTTTTGTTTTGTTTTTAATTTTAAGCAGAACTTGAATTCTGAAAAAGTTGAAAATATTTTTTAATATCTCCTTATGTGATTTATTTTGTAACACTGGTGATGTGATACATTTCTGTCAATAGAGAATGTTGCAGTTATATATGTATTTTAGAGCAGGGCTCTTCTGAAAATTATATATTTTTTTTCTTTTAACAGCTGTTATTTGTTTTAGTATTAGTTTTATATTTTAGTATTAGTTTTTTCAATAGTTATTATCCTTGCTTGCTCTTCACTAATGTTGGTCTTTTTTTTTTTTTTTTTTTTTTTTTTTTTTAACTGAAATATCTATTAAGCAGGCATCATCTGGATAAATGTGAAAGATGGTATTTTCAAGAGATAGGTTTACTTTCAGATCCAGTGAGTACAAAATCTTAACATTTAGTGAGGCTTTATTTTTGAAGCAGTGTAAAAGAAAATGTTAAACTGGAGAGGACTGTTTTTCATCAGTCTTTGTGTCAAGCTGTGGAAAGCCTTGAATTCTTATTCTTTAAACTAAAACCCATAAATCAGCCAAGCAGAATTTACAGATCAGTCCAGATTTACTCATAAAAGTTAACAATGTAATTTTTATTGGATGCTAAAAATCATGAACCTGATAGAGTTATCCAATTTATGACGTGACAATTTCTCCTCTCCCTCCGAAGCTATCCTGTCACACAGGTAAATCTCTCCTTTAACTATAAAAGCAAACCATCTTATCATCTTTTCCTATTATGTTTCCTCTCTGTCCTAGTAGCTTTTCTCTTAGGTATTTCCCATTTAACATATCTATTCTATTTCAGATCTAGTATTGTTTTCTTGTATTACCTTTGAAATGTATACTTTTCATTTCAGATCTAGAGCAGAATGCGTATCTCTGTACAACTAGATCTATGACTTTGTCTGATAGAAGACAATGTCTTTTTGAGATACTATCATGCCTGTATCAACTCTGTAATTAGAAGAGTTATTACATTCTTATTTAGTTCCTCAATAATACCAAAATATCAGAGTGAAGTAGGGTTTTCTTTAGTTTAGAGTTTCCTACTGGAAACAAGTTTTTAAAATGATAATTCACTCATAATGGGAAAATAATTACATAATCAGAGAATAATTAGGAAAAAATATTTTTGAATATGGTATATTTAGAAATAATAGAGATATTGTCTGGAATATGATCCAGACTATTGTTCAGCTCTCAAATATTGTTCCCTGTAACCTGATTTTATGCTATTTTTTCTCATTTTCATTTCTGGATATTAAACTGTATTAATCTAAAAATTAAATTCACCTTTCCCAGGTAAGGTATTTCATGTTGCAGACCTTATATTCAGATAGACATGAGAAAAAGTAGAACAAGTTTTTATTAAATTATAAATATGAGGGAGTATTTCTTGACACATTGGCTCTATTGCAATAAGATTCATATGATGAACATTTTGATCACGTTTTATTTCAGATTGAATTCTACCTTATGCAAATAGATAAGTCAAGTCATACATATATATTGTGTATATATTTATACATAAAATAAAAAAATAGGTCGGATCTGTGAGTTTCTAGACTACGTTGCTGTTTATAATGTATCTTGAATAGAATAGCATGGTATGGTTGACGCATCTACATCTACAGTTTCTCAAACTGTTTGGCAATGTTTAACATAACATGTTCTTAAAAAAATCTCCTAAAATTTCAAAATTTAATGATAAATACAATTACACTGGCTATTCCGAACAACTGTTGTAATAAGATAAAAGGTAGGAGAAGGTGATGAGTTATGATTGGGTTTACTTATAGGCATACAGTAGTAGGATACGAGACCTGAATTGTGTGAGGGAAAGGCAGTCATCAGTAAATCTACAGATGAGCCTTCAAAACTCTGCTTAAGATTCTGAACACAAAAGATATTTTAGTTTTAAGAGTAAAAGTGAGGTCAAATGGCCAATGAAATTAAAATTGATAAAAGCAAATTAATATTCTTGAACATATAAATGCAAATAAATTAATATTGTAATAAAAGTAGTTTTAAGTTTATAAATACTGGTGAGCTCTAATTTATCTATTTATATCTAAGATGAAATGTTTATCCATTTGACAGATCTGTCAAACCGTCAGCTCAGATGCAAAGAGAATGTTAAGCACATTCTATGATGAACAGATACAGAAACAGGAACCATCCAATGTTTCCAGTATACATGCCCATGAGATAACAACACCTCAATACTGGGCACTGTTCTGGATCCTACATTTTGAAAAGGAAATGTCAAAAGTGTACAGTAAGAACTATAAGGGTTGTCCAATTGCAGGGTTGCTTTTATATCCAGAGAGAATATTTGGACCATAAATCTTCATCCTGGAAAAAAAAAGATTAATTTAGATAGGGCACAGTATATGCTTTTAAAGGATGTTTGTTAAGGAAAAGGTGAAAATCAAGAGATTGTAATCCATGTAATAACCACATCAAATGAGGCAAACAATAACTGGATGTAAAACAAACACACTTATGAAAGAGTAAACATGCTTAAAACAAACAAAAGTATTTCCTCACAAAGCAATGGAATTAAATTTCATGATACATTTTAAATGCTAAAATTTTAAATGGGGTAAAAAATAAAAACCTGAATAAATTCATAAAGACCATAATTATAATCATCCATTACATAAAAGAGAAATGCTACTACACAAATGTTTGAAAGGTGAGAATGTTCACAAAGACTAGTGTGACTGATGACTTTTTCTTTCTGTTTTTCTACATGTCCTTTAGGCTTCAGTGGCCACTTGGTTAACAGGATATAAGGCCATAAGTACTTTTGTTCAAACTCTATTGTTTGCACCTAGTAAGATACAAATAAATATTTTTTTACCACTGTATTTTAAAAATCTCATGTAAAATTAAAAATGATGATCCTTGACATCAAATTTGAATAATTGCTAAGAAAATATACAGTAATGTTTGGCAGCTCTCTTTCAAACATGTTATATGAATCCTAATATTTCTCATTTTGTAAAGATTTTCCAATAAATTCCCAATATCAGCCTCATTTTTTCTTAACTATATATATTCCATAGCATGTTTCTGAAAGTAAAAGTGTTTCATTATTACTGCTGTCTGAAGTAAGCCTGGGTTTACAAACTTTTAGCCCTGGTTACCAAAATTAATATGTAAATAATAAGAACAAAGGGTTCTGTAATTTCTAATATCTCTGATTTTTCTTCTGCACATTCTTTTGTGCTCCTACCACAATTATCCATAATTTGACTTCAGAATAAACTAAACCAAGAACTGTTTACAACTGATAGCAATGAGCATTGCTGCATTCAGCATGGGAGACCAGATCTGAAACAGCTTCACTGACCATCTCTTACCCAATTTTGGCAAATGGTTGATTTTTCTTCTTCTTCTATTTCAACTAAAATTTCATTACCTTTTGTTTTACATTTATTTGTTTGTTTGTTTTGTTTTGTTTCTTTCCATAAAGACTACTGACTTGTGTCTTAATATTTCATTATACTGTAATCTCAAGGATCAAAGAAGTCAATCACTGCTGGAGATGTTGGTGTCCAAAAATGCTTAAAAGTTAATTTTAAAATGGCAAGAGAGAAATATACGTCATTGTTGTCATAAAACATTTCCTAAGCTTTTCTTTCTTTGTACGTGATTCATCCGGTTATCTTATGTGCAGAATTTTATCAGCTATGAATTTTAAATCTTGCAAGGAAAAATAAGTTAATTTTCAAGACATCTTATTAAGATATCTTTCTTTGGACTGAGCATCTGGATTAAAATATAAACATCTTTATTATCAGGTGAAAATATCACTTCTCACTTCTTACATAGGAAGCACATTTGGTACTAACTATTAGTAAGCAGAAAACAGGTCTTGAGTTTTGTAGTTATCCAACATTTCTTTGTATTGATATACTATAGAGTTCATAGATCTTGCCTGCTAAAACTTCTGGAGCTATTATTCTTCAGTTGTCTTTTACTTTGATCGACATAGGCTGGAAAGTCTAAATAAATAATTGAAGTTTTTTGCAAGGTTAATTTACTGTTAAGACCAATATGTGCCTTGCCACAATGTTTGAGTGGTAAGTTGCTTTTGTTCCCAGTTATTCTGATCTACTTAAATGCATGGATAAGACTTGTCTCTCCACTGCTATCCTCAAGCATAGCTATTCCGTTCTGCAGAAATACTTCAACTATTCTTGATGTATTATTTATATAGGCTAATCTTTCTAAATCAAAATATTGAAGCATTTGGTGTTGCACTGTAAAATTTGTATCAACTGTTACCTTGTTACTTTTGCTTAATGTTTTTAGCTTATGACGGTTATGAACACAGAGCTGGCTGATTAGGCAAAATTTGAGGTGCTTATTCTTTAAGAAGTTTGAATTGCTTACAAATCATATTTTTGATTATGCTGCTGAGGGTCACACTTAGAAAGTTGAAAATGTGATTTACACAGCAATGAGCAATCACGTTAATTCAGTCATTTAAAACTTGTTCAGAAACAAGAAGATGAAATAAGGAAATATATACAATGAGGCTAATTGTCATCAGCTTCTTAACCCTTTCAGTGCCATAACAAAGTTAAGTGCACTCTTCCTTTAGTGAATTTTTTTAATCCAGGTGTACTGATAGAAGGAATTCAAGTGATTAGTTGAGGACATCTGCCTTTTTGGCTGGCAAGAGATGGAATCTTTGCAGTCGTACACTATTGATAGTGCCCCCTTTTGCCATTCATTTTCAGGCAAATCTTTGTATTCTAAAATCTATTATTTAATTAAAACTGCTAAGAAAAAGCCACAGTGTCTCATGGATGAATGCAGAATTATTCATGGGCACAAATTCATATCTTAGGTATTAAAACAGAATATCCCCTATCTGTGCATTCCTTCATAATTTAAATATTACTTGTTTCTGATGGACTCTTTGACTGTGAAAGTCTTTCGTGTGTGCCAAAGCTGTTGAAACAGATTTTCTCTTGAACATGAACTTTCCAAGAAAAATCAGTTTTGAAGAAAGAAAAATTGAGGAAAGGGGAGAAAACTGAAAAATTTATCTATCCTTCTGTTTCTTTGTTTATAGACATTTTTTGTCTCATCAGCTTTATTTTACGCTAGGTAATGATTTGTTATCATATAATCTTGTCACTGTAAGCTTGGATGAGCAAGTAAATGAATGGAGCAGGAAGCTAGGTAATCCTTTGTAGCTGTGTTTAGCACCTCACATGAGAAGCTCCTGCTCCTGGAGCTTGCTTAATACTAGATGAATGCTATGGTTGAACAGCACAGTTCTGCAATTCGTCTTCTACGGATGTTGTAATAGCTCTTTTTACTGTTTTGTTTCAAATCAAGTTTCAAGACTAAATAATATCTAATTCAGAAATGACTAGGGTTTGTTTGGTTGGTTTTTTTATTTTTTCTTTTCTTTTTTTTGTTTTTGTTTTTGTTTTTTTTTTTTTTGTTGTTGTTGTTTTTGGACATTTTGACATCTTAAATGTGTGATCTATTCCTGTAGATTACAAATAAATAAATAAATAAATAAATAAATAAAATATCTTCCTCTTATACATCTGCTATCTTATAAAGTACACAGTGTCATCCTCTAATATAGCATGTTGAAAGATTTCATCAATAAACTCTGAACCATCAGTTTTACAAGTCTGTATGAAGAAGGGACAGCCCTGATAAGTGCTTGTGACTTTGCACACCAGTGTTCTTCAAACTGAAAACTCATTTGAGTAGTCTGTGTGTTCCTGATAAACATGGTGAATTCTAACACGGTAATATGTCATCAGCAAATATTATCTAGCTGGAAACAAATGAACAAATATAAACCACCAAAGCAACTTCCACACTAACTCTTCTCCTTTACCTATGACAGGAGCAAGTACATTAAGAAAGACAAATCATAATTCTTATACCTTTCTCCTCAAAAGTACAAAAAAATACTAAAAAACAAATTCAGACTTTTAGTGATGGTTGTATAACACACAATATCTGAAGATGTACCTTCAAAAAATCTGAGCAAAGAAAAAACTGAAGTCAGTTTTCACTGTGGCTGAAGATTATTTGATATCAGTGTAAATATCAATCTTAATTTAAAAGGAGATTGTGACTCATGTATTACTGTGGAGTTGTCTGCTCCTACTGACACATCTAAAAATAATGGAGAAAATAATTCCATGTATTCACTAGGAAGAGATAATTTAACCCAGAATTCCTCTTCAGCCTTCTGAATTCGTACATTCAGATGGCTGACCTTACAATCTTGAAAATGAAAATCATGAATGTCTTCTCCCTGGAGCTGACATATTATTTTATGGTTCTTTCCAACATTCCTGCTTAAGCACTATCATTCAGTAATGTTCTTTATTGGAGTTTGATTCATTCTTCAGGCTGTAACGAGCAGATACAGCCCTAAGTTTTTGTGGGTTTCTGTCTGTTTTTATCACACATATGACAAATGAGTTATTACAATTAAGTAAAACAATGTTAGGGATGCATGTTACAAGTAATCCTTATGAATAATTATTCAGAAACAAAACTACATGTTTTCATACATGTACTTTTGAATAAACTCAGAATAGATTTTGGTGCAGACATTTTCTTATCTGGTAAGAAAATCATCTCCATTCCAAAATCCTGAAGGGATAAAGTTGTCTATAGAATTTGTCCTTAACCAATAGAAATCTGCCCCTCCTAAATCTCAATAACTGTCTAAGGTAATCTTCAACAACTGAGCGCCGTCAGAGTTTGTACTAATGGTTATAATGTAGAGTCATCTAACCGATACCTTATTGCTACTTATCTAACATGGGCTTGAAATGAGGTGACATTGTAATAAGTTAATACAAATTACTTGTATAACTTTCACACTGCTTCTAGGCTGAGGCAAGCAATCAAAGGAAAGTTATTGTCTGCTTTTTAGAGATAATCATAATGTGTTCCATTTGATTAAATGTGGCTCACTGTTAAAATACTAGAAGAAAATGTCTAAGTGGTTTTTATTCTCCACCTTGTCTCAAACTTTCTGGTTATACAAAATTACATACCTGCATTTAAGAAAATAATGGTATTTATTTTGCTGATGAATGAAAAAGAGACTTCTTTCTGACTCATGAACACTTGCTATTGTAACATGGCCTAACTATAATTTGCAGATGTGTGCTAATGCCTATTGGTGTGACTTATGACATTTCCATTTATAATATAATAGTATGTCTGTAGACACTTTGTATTTACTGATACAGCAAAGCACTATCATAAGCACAGTTTTGATTATTTCCTTGATTCCTTCCTCATTTGGATCAGTGGAAAATAAAAGACTGGAATGGTACAGTTGGATTAACTGAGATCAGAGAATATACATGACAAGTCCTTTTTACTGTTATTTTTGCAAAAAGATTTGACAGACAAGCAAGTTTTACATGTGCAAGCAGTCTCTGAAAGAAGTGCAAGATACTCTTTCAAATTTGTGGACATGCAAAATTTACTATTTATACCAGAATCAAGTGAATAATTTTCACAGAGTGATTTATTCAGTGTATTTAGTTGCTTTTTATTCTGATGGAACAGACTTCAGTTCCCCCCTAAATTATTATTATTTGATGATTCTTCCTTTTAAATTTTACCTTAACTTATAAGATCCAACCTTAAGAATGTGTCTTCTGCTGTCTTTTACTTTTCAAGCTCTGCTAAGTGCTTGGTCGGAAAAAAACATAGGAGATATTGTCAAAAAGAAACTGCTCATACAAGCAGATCTAGAATGGATCTTCTGACCATTAGTCAACTATTTTGCATCTGTGAAGAACTATACTTGTACAAAGTCTTAATCAGGAAGTCTTTTAAGTGTTACCATACAGTGCCATAGAATACCCTGCAAATGAGCAATAAGATCTCTCTGTCTAAAAATGTGTCACTAAACGGTAGTAATGAAAACTTTAAAAGCTTACATTAACAGAAGAGCAGGTTTTTTTTTTTTTTTTTTAAATTATCTGTATGAAGTTTTCCATCCTTCTCGCAAAGACAGTGTTTCAGAGGAGGCAGGAGTCTGTCAGCTCACAGTAGTAATTTCTTTTTGTGTATATGTATATGTATATTGTGTATATATATAATATATATGTATATATAATATATATAATATATATGTATATTGTGTATATGTTTTGTGTATATGTGTATATGTATATTAATAGAATAAACATTTCATTAGTCTGATAACCTTGATCAGCAAACATGAAGGTAAATTATCTATTTGGATTTTGAATATTTTTAATTACATGTGTAACTTTATTACCTTCTAGAATGTAACATCTTTACTTTTAGGGTGACAGAGCCCTGGAATGAACTGCTGAGAGAGGTTGTGGATTCTCTTTCTCTGGGGATATTAAAAACTCACCTGGACACTTTCCTGTGCAACATACTGCAGGGAACCTGGACTACACGATCACCAGAGGTCCTTTCCAGCAGGACAATTCTGACACCACGGTGGCCATTCATTCCTCTTGGTGCTCCGAGAGAGTCTAGAAATTTAGGACATTATAAAACTTAGTTGTGTCTCTGGCAGGCAAAAAAAACATGAAAATTTAAAAACCTCAAACAATTTGTTACTTACACAAACTTGCAAAATAAAAAATGCTCCTGAAAGAAATATAAAATGTGAGAAAAAAAATCAGTCTGTTAATGAGATACATGTGGAAAAACATGGAACTGAATTTTCTTGAAAAATTTATTTGTAGAATATTATAATCAGTAACAAAAAACACTCATTTTTTTAATAAATACTTCCTTCCTTTTCAGAATTAGTATTAAGTAATTTTCTCATTTTTAAGGCCAAATATTATGCTTGCATAATGTAAGCCCTCTTTTAAAAGTGGAATTCCTACAAATCCCTAATACAATAAGCAATTTTTTTTTCCTAAGTATCCTTCCTAAGGCTTGACTTGTAACGGAATCCTAAATCCTGTGACTATCAAAGTTTGTACCTAATTACCTGAGTAAAAAATATAGCGAGTATGATGTGCTATTTGTTGAGTCTGTTAAAAAGTTGTATAGTTGTGTATAGTGAAGCCTACTCAACAGCACTCTCAGATAATAGAACTCTTGTTCCCACATGCTCAGCTCTAGCTACATTAATCCAGGATGTGTAAAACAAAAGGAGCAACAGGTAAATTAAGCTATAATGAGCAGTAGCCTCTGGGAAGAGTGTAGGAGGTGAGGTTACTACATCTAGGATATCATGTATTGACTGGTTTTGTTAAGTGTCCTTTTCCCTGGGTAGGCTTAATTTGAGTGGTTATCAAGCGTCAGTAATAGCACAGAAATCTTGGATTAGACATTGCTATTCACAATTTAAATCCAGATTAGAAAATTAATTTCAGATTTTGAGTGAGTAGTAGGTGAGAGCAGGTTCAGCATGTATCAGAGTTCTTCCATGGAAGCTGAGTAACTTACACTGGTTTATGCCTGCTTTTCATTTAAATTAATTCTCAAGAACTAATAAGTCATATTAGGTTTATGCTGACTCATTTCTTTCATTGTACAGAATATTGTGACTCAATAATTGTAGCTTGAAATACCATAGTTAATTTTAGTTCGAAGACTTTTTTTTTCCAAACTGCTAGTTGATGATGTTATTTCCCTTTTTCAAGGGAGAATAGGCAACTTCTTTTTCAAAAATAAAATAAGGAAATGAAATGGCTCACAGAAAGAGTTTTAAAAACACTTATCAAAACAGTTACTGACTCATAAAATGCTTATCAAAACTGTCTTTCAAAAAATAAAGAAAAAATCTCCAAACAAAATGAAAAAGAATTTTTAAAACATATCTCACTTTTACTGTCTTCAGTAGCTCACAAGGAGATCTAGACATATTCTGTCCAGTTCTTTTTCTGCTCTACATAGCATACGTGTCTTTTAGCTCTGTAATTTTCTCCCACAGAATCTCTTTCCCTCTCTGCAGTTTTATGACTCCCAATTTCCTTTGTTGTACCATCTGGTTCAGTCCATGTCTCTGGGGCATTATTCCTTTCAGACACAACGTAAGTAATAACGCCATGATTAACTTTTGAACTGTATGTGGCATTTTACAGAAGCACTTCTTGAGCAGTTTTATCAGTGGAAAATAGGGTTACTTGCTGACAAAAAGAAGAATAAGTAATGAAAAAGCATAATGTCAGTTATTTTTAGTACTTGAAGTATTCTGCAAAATTCGGTCTTCATATACTGGTATTCACAGCTGAAAGTATTAGAATCAAATAGAGCTCATAAAATACTTAGAATTCTTGTGTAAGAAACTTCCCAGTTCCTATATTCCAAACCCTAAGAACATTCAGAAAACAGAGTATTCTTTACTTATGGCCTCCATGACCTTCTATTACCATCACTCAGACAAAAAACCCTGAGACCTCTCCTTTAACAGTTTTTCAGAGACTTGCTGCTATACCTGTTCACTCTGTTTTGTGCTCACTTACTCTCTTACAGGTTTCTACTTACTCTTCTAAAATCCATTCTTCCCAGAAAAGCAAATGAATTCATCACAAAATGAGCTTACCCAGCTGCCAAATTGAATGCTGGGGTGGAGTGGAAGAGAGACACTTTTTTGTCTGAGTTCAGGTACTTAATGCCTCAGCGGCCTAACTGCATAGAGGAGCTTAATCATAGAAGCATAGAATCACAAGGTTGGAAACGACCTATAAGACCATCTAGTCCAACCGTCTCCGTCTCCTCATCACCATCGCCACCACTAGCACTAAAATGGTTCTTTAATGGTTCTTTACATCTGCCCTAAATGACAACTGACTGCTAACACCCACCACTGTCAGCAATTCATAACAATTTCCATAACCTATCCATAGTATTAAAAATTTAATCAGGATTGTAATAAATAAGTTATGCACATGAGTTAAAGTGTGAACACTCACTGTACGGAAAATAAATAGAGAGCAAATAGACTTCTAGAGTGATTCAGTGCTACAGAGAAACCTAGTAAATTAGTAAAATTAAATCCTTTCAAAGTAGCTGTGAAATAATTCAAAAAGAACTGAAATAAAGTCATACTGAATCATAATAAGAGACTTTGTAATCGAAAACTGATTATTTTTTCACAATTACATTACACCTGAAAACTTTGCATTACTTTTAGTACATTATGCTTCTGCTTCAATAATTAGGCATTAGATAAGTCACTTACTTGCAGTTGCCAGTTACTACTTGAGATAATTTCTTCACACTCATCATACTCTATTTTTCTTTTGCTATTATTCACTTCTGTTTTCCTTTGCTGAATCTGAACAGTGTGTTTCATTCCTTCCAAACTATAGACTTTAACAAATCTCTAATTGAATATGACATCCTCAAGGGTGGATTTATATATATCACTTCAGGAATTCAACAGGATGACTTGGCAGCTTTGTTTTTTATGAGGTATGAAGTTATATCAACCCCCAGGAAGGAAAGAAAGTTAGTGAGGAGGCAAGGACTGCAGGCATCACACTGTTCAGAGACGAATTCCTGATGGAACTATTTGCATCAGCTAGCTCTTTAAATCATTCTGTGGTTGTAATAAGATAATCATGGCCAAAATAATAAGCCTCAGAGATTTTAATCTGAAATTCTAGTCCAAAGCTGAGAGTCTCCACAGTGCAGCAAGAGGCAGTTCAGACTTGTTGACCTGCCTTAGTTGTACATTTACCTCCAGAACTGAATCTTTAGCTTTCTTAGCACTGCTGAGCAGGTAAGCATGGTTGTCAGTCAAGGGCTGAGAGTGACACAAATGGCCTCAAAGAAGACAGATGTGTTTATTACCCTGTATTACAATATAATATACCTTGATATCTCTTGCAACCTGCCATAGAATCTCTCATCACTATTTCTATGACATGGTTTGTCCATCAACTAATCTGACAGATCATTTTTATTGTTTTTGAACCAAATTTTCATGAATGCTAATTTATCATAGCATCAAGCCACTTGTTTAACTTTGAACTATACATAGTTACTGAGACTTGTGCCTTAGCACAGGCTTATCTTTGAGACTAAAAATAATATTCTGTATAACATTAATAGGATGCCATTACCCTTAAAGTACTTATTATGTCTTTAAGTAATTTCAGTAGATGAATACATAGACTAGCTGTGCAAAATAATGAAGGATAATGAGCAGATTAGCAGATTTCTGGTCTTTCATTTTGTCTGAAGAACTGCTGTCAGAAAACATTTAAACTTTCTCAAGCTTTAGATGTATGTATCATTACTTCAAATAGGGTCTGTGTTGGAGGGCAGGTTCAGTAGTGCTGAACAGAAATGTACCTGATGAGTTTACTGTTCAGATTTAGTATGTATCTCGTGAACATTATTTCCTCTTACTGACACTGTCACTGAAAGCAAGAAACCATAATTCCAACAAAAACATGAACACATATAAATAATTTAAGGGCACCTGCCATCTGGAGAATAGATAAATGTATGTGACTTACACGTGGTACTAAATTATTATTGTTTGTTTGTGGTACTGGGTATTAATAATGATATTAATCTTCCTAAATGTCAGATAATTATGTTACTGTAAGTCATGATTTTACAAAAAAAAAAAAAAAAAATTGAACATACTCTAATAATTTAGTGTACATATACGTGATTTTAACATAACCAATAAAGTCAGTTGCATAGAACAATATGTTTAGTAGAAAACATTGGCCATTACTTCATTTTCAAGCATAGCTCAAGATTTTGACTTCAAAATAGGGTTGGCATCTCTGTTCCATATAGTGCAGAGTAACTGTAGCATTCATACTTGGCAGAACTGTCTCTGCCATTTCTAGAAGACTGTTTACCTTTTTTTTTCTTTTTTTTTTTTTCTCCCTGAAAGTAACATCAGCAGTAGGATGGCTTTAAAATTTTTCCATTTCGCTGTTCTGGTTACTACTGCCCACAGATACTGTACAATCCACACATAACTAAACACATATCCATTCTGGCGAGTAGTTCTAGGTGCCTATTAACAATTCAAGCAACCTAAGATAGCAGGCAGTTATTTTGAAACCCCCTTCATGATTCACCAGACTTCCTTTGTGCAAACTTGAGTCAAGGGAGTATACATAGGTAAAATAAAGCAGAGTTGAAGGTTGCAGAGAACCTTAGTCAGCTGCTTTGCTTAGCAGCCATGTAGGGACCCATATCTTATACTTTTAGACTGCTTGTCATCCTCTTGAGACCACCAGTCAGTTTCAAGGGTTTTTCACAACACATTTGAAAGTCAAAATGAGAGAAATTAATGAACTGTTTTGTTTCTCTTCTGCAATAAATTTGAAATAAAAAACACGGAGCAAGTTCAAAAGCGAGTGGAAATTGTCTTTCCCCTTTTACTTGAATGTATCTTTAAGATGTAAGGCCACAATCAAAACACTACTAACTTTTTCTTTTTTTGTATAATTATTTTCATTATTCTGTAGATTAATTTCCTATGGTAGTTTCCACGTCTTTTGAAAGAAAAAAGAAAAAAAAAAAAAAAAAAAAAAA